CCCCAAAACCCCAAAACCCCAAAACCCCGCTGTTCAATTCTATTCAAATCTAATGTGAATAAATAAATAAAATCATTTTTCAATACTATTCATTCATGCTAATAATTTTAATCTCCTTCGCTTGAATATCTTTATGATCAAAAGCCTTTCTTTATTTGTTTCTTTAATGGCTTTTAGCAGAATTTCTGTTTTAATTCTAAGTCTAATTGCCGATATTAGTGCTTGTTGCTGAGGGATTGAAATATTGATTAATATTGCTTGATTAGTTTGACTTTGCAAAGTTTTATCTTAGGGTTCTTGACCTACCCTATGATGAAACTGCTCTTTACTAGGTAACATAGAATGATGACCCAAGGTTACTACTCATAGGGCGATCATGAATTGAAGATAAGTTTTCTACTTTAGATTTAATGCTTATAGGAGATTTTAGCTCCTCTGAAAAGCCCCCTGTATTTTATCTATAATTTGATTGCACAGTCAGCAGTGTAGAATCTTCATCATGTCTCAAATTTGAGTCTCTTCTCTTTTTCTCTTTTTGCTTTCTCATATATTTGGTGTTTAAACTGGAAAAAGAAACTTCCTCATCTGATTATATCACTTCAAGCAACAGTTTCTCATCAATCTAGTCGTTATTATAGGCAGAAATTTTCAAAGACTTATCAAATATTTCATCCTCATTATCACCTCTGTTCATCTTTCTCAAATCCTTGTAGTCTTTAACCATAATGTCTTTTAAGTCTGAAAATTTGATATTATCAGGCTTTTAAATCTCTGAGAGGGCTTTCAGCACAATTTTCCCGTCAAGACCTCTTTTATTTTTCTTAGGATTGCTAATTGAAACTATTCCTGAATATAGCAACTATCTTTGATAGCTCAGAACTTTGATTGAAATAGGCAGACTCTTTAAAATAATGCTAGCTTTCACAATGAAGTCATAGACATTCTAAAGCGCTCCTTTAAAGCATGATCTCATAAATATCCTCATAAATTCGTTATATTTCAAGACTGGCTTGTCTATCAAAGATAGATCTCCAGTTAAGTCTTTATACAAACTGTCAAGTTCTTTCTCATCCACAATGATTCTCTTTTTGAGTGCAAATCGCATGAAGTCTTTCTTTGGCACTTCTCCTACTTTCTTTTCCTAGCCACCTTTTAATTCATCCCACCATGATAGAATAAGCTCATACATGTCCCCTAAATTGGCATTCCTAAATTAAAAGGTCTAATTATTTTCCTTTAGATACTTTTCTAGAGTTTCAGAGATCAACTTTTTTACTTTCTTGTTTGGTTCACTAAGTATTTAATGAGGATCATTTTTGAATATTTCTAGTATCTCAAGGAATGTTTTGGCACTAGCACCGTACTTCTGATTTAAATAGCTTATCATTTCTCTTCTTTAATTGATAAGCACCAGCTTTTCTTGGTAATCCTTGGCTAAATCAGAGTTTTTTAGATTCTTATAGATTTGCACATCGCTAACGATCTCATGAAGAATAAGCAGCTTATGATGATATTTAAGTTTTTTCTTTGTCATTAGCACCTCCTTGCTTTCATAGTCATCTATTATTTTTTACTTTTAGTTTATTGCATTACTAGGCTTATCCAGGAGTTCTTTATCTAAGGAAGAATAATTTTGATACTAATCATTTCTTCTTCCTTTCGCTGGTGACTGATTACCTCCATTTTATGAACTTAATAATGACCTATTTTAATGTTTAAGTTCCACTCCCTATGACTACTGTGAAGCCTTTTTCTTAGATTATTAAGAAGACTTCACACTCTCATTCAGAATCTTTAGTATTCTGTTGACAAGTCTGCTTGAATTACAGAGCTTTTAAAAGTCCTTAATGCAAATCTTTATTCTAGAAATCTAACTGAAAGGTTACTTAAGAACTATCGACATCATTCTAAGTAAAAAGTCATAACTAGGAGCTAACCCAATCGAGACCATATCTTTTACTATAGTATCTACATATATAACTTCTTCCTCGTTATCATTCCAAAATTAAAACAGTTCACTGGCAAACTCAAGCATTTAATTATGATCTCTATTCCTATCATGAGTGTCTTGATTTCCCTGGTTCTTATTGAGAAGCATTTAATTATTACTTTGCTGCTGCTACTTAAATTTCTTTTCCTACAGATCCTTGAGTTGCTTGTCCTGAAGCACCTAGTTAAGTCTCCACTCTTTTTTGCCCTCGAAGTTTAGATTACTTACTTTCAACCATTTAACATTAGCTTCGTAATTATCATTAAAACTAGTTTTACTCAGCAACTATCTCTGCTAGTTTAAGCTTTTGTCATCTTTCGAATTAACTTCCTGTCTAAACCCATAGCACTCTCGTATTTACTTATACTAATCATTCTTCTCTGTTATATTGTACTCATTTATAAATTTCTGCTATTGCATTTTCTGATAGTAATTTGTAGAGTTGTAAGATACAATTGACTTAAGTAGATGATGGCCATAGTGCAGCTGCAAATCTGATGGATCAGGAGTAATCTCTGGCTTCTTTGTTGTCACCTGCTTTTAGTTGAATATTCTGTTTATTTATGTGTCAGCGTCAAGATGATCTCCTCCAATCTATCCCTGTGTGTTGCTGTATCTGCTACTTTATCGCCTTTTAATGCCACCAGCATTTAGTTGAGCAGATTTAGGCCTTGACTACTTGCCAAAGCTCCCTATAGTATGATGATGAAATTTTGTTTGATTCTAGTCCTGATTTTTATTTGACACAGCTTTAGTCTAGGATTGCATCTGCTTTTTCTTAGGTAAATTCAGCTTGAAAGCTGTGTACATTTTCATTTGATTAGCCTTACTCTCTTCATCTATTGAGTCGTTTTCTGATATGACTTCTTTATCTGGGGACCTTAAATTCAACTTTGTCATATATTTCTCATGCTTGCCAATATCCTTCTCATTTTGATCATCATATATATTATGTAGTTGGTTCTTAGAACTAACTTAAGTTATATCATATTCACTCTTAATCTAAGAATTTCGTCTTAAATTTCTCATGAAACTGCTGGAGTTATTTTTGTTAAGTAGACTTTTACTGGAAGAATCCATTCTATTCTCTGTAATATTCAAGTATTATCGAGTTCCACTCTAGGTTGAGAGCCTGGCCTGCACTGTATTTTATTGCCGACTATAAGATGAAGTTTTGCTTATCCCTTTGCTATTTCTTGAGAAATTCAACAGACTTTTCCTTCTCTCTGATTCATCCTTGTACCCTTGAATTTTCTATTGAAATTAATTAATGATTGCTTAAAATTTACATTCTCAATAGGGGTTATATACTTATTCTCCAAATTTTTATTTATATTTTCAATCACTCTAAACATTTCATATACTGACAACCCTGACTTAGGAGCACTATACTCATTGTATTTTGAACTCTAAACATATATTAATGGGATAGAAAATACTGATGATTTTATGTCATTGTCGCTGTACTACATATACATTTGCTGTTGCTAATTGATCAAATTTTTTGACCCAGTCTTAAAAAACTTATCTGCCGTTTTACTAAATTTCACAGAAGAATCTTAAGTATATCTGGTCTCTTGGTATGGTGAAGCTGCATTATTTAACTAAGACTACTCTCTAGTAATTTTGCTTTGTGAAAAGTTTTTAACATTTCTCTTAATTATATTTTAGGTAGTCTTTCTTTAGTCTTCAACCGTTTGGTTGAGTCTCTAATCAATTGAACTGTTAAGATATAGCTCTTTATAGTTCTTCATTTGCAAATTTACTAAGATTATTATTACTGATTCTATTATAAATTCTATCAATTTTTAATCTGCGGGGTTTTGGGGTTTTGGGGTTTTGGGGTTTTGGGG